ATTCGACGCGCGTGGAGGCCGATTTGAGGGGCAAAGGCATCGCGAGCTAGAGATTTCGCCGGTTCGAGGTAAGTAATGATTGTAAATACTGTCCTGAGGGTTTGAAACCCCGGATTACACATCGTTGTGTTACTTTGAGGTGACTTACACGCTAGATGACGAGGGTGGGGTAGAGCACCTTGTGACCTAGTCCTTCCCGAACGAGTACTTTAATGCGTATTTGATAGTTAATTGTTTGATGTTATTATATTTTGGGTTGTATGCCATGTTTGGGACCTTGTGCCGACTTGTTGAGACCCTTAGGGGCATTTTTACTATCTATCCTCACTCTAATTGTTTGAAAGCATGTCCTCAGTCATGTGTTACCTGTTTATTTCTCAAATCTGGCTTTATCACTATATTCTTAAAATGTGGAAACTGTTTTGGGCTGAGTTCCCTGTTTTATTGAGATAGACCGAGGGTCTGATTGTGAGATTGATGACTGAGATATACTGAGAGTCTGATGGTAAGGTTAATGACTGAGAGAGGCCGAGGGCCTAGTTGTGAGGATTATATATCTATGGATCAGGCTGCACGCCGCAGCAATATATGTATATATATATATATGGATACGGATCGGGCTGCACGAAGCAGCAATACTTATATGGGTCGGGCTGCACGCCGCAGCAATATTGCGCTTGGGCCGTAAGGGGCCCCTCCCGGAGTCTGCACACCCCCAGTGAGCATCGTCGACGAAGTATATGGATCGGGCTGGACGCCGCAGCGATATATGGATCGGGCTGCACGCCGCAGCGGTAACTATATGGTACCTATTGAGCGCGAAAGCTGAGTACGAGTACTGATTGGTAAGAGTTGAGTCCGGAGTGACAGAGATGCTAGCCCGAGGGGCGATAGATATATACATGCATATGAGTTATGTTTGCCTGAGAGGCCTGTTTATGAACTTATTGATTTCACTCCTCGTTAAAGCGAGTTTCTATCGAATATGTTGATTTATTGACTGTTTCCACTCATCTTTATATTGAGCCTCTGTCGGAAAGTTGAATAAATATTTTAAAAACAACTTTTATTTAAACTGGGGTTTATGAGATGTTCAGAAACTAATCACTGATTTGGCATTTGGTTATTTCCACGGAGGTTTTCAAGTTATGAAGTGTTTATGATTACTGTTTTGCCCGAGGGGCTGTTTTACGAACTATGCTTTGTCCGAGGGTCCGATTATGGCTTTAATCTCTATTATTACTTTAAATAGTATTAAACCCCTACTGAAACTGCTGGAAAGTATTTCAAAAACGATTTTTACTAAAAGCTGGATTTTAAAAGGGAAGGTTGACTCGTATTATGATTTGAAAGCCTGTTGTGTTTATTGAGCCGAACGCGAATGTGGATTAATTATTTCCTACTGCTCAGTCTTTATTTACTCTTATTACTTACTGGGTTGGAGTACTCACATTACTCCCTACACCTCGTGTGCAGATTAAGGTATATTGAAACTCGGTAGCGGGTGTTGATTTGCTCAGGCGCGGAGTTATCAGAGTTAGCAGGTGGTTGCACGACGTTCGCAGCACCGCTCCCTTCCTCACATTGTTATTACTGTATTTAGTACATTATTTTAGACTTCTTGTCGAATTCAGACCTTGATAGATGCTCATGACTAGTGACACCCCGAGGTCGGGCTTGTATTTTTATTCCGCACTGTTATTTCAGAAGTTATTATGAAACATTGCTTAATTAAAGGCTTTAAAATGACTCTTAATGCTCAAGGGGCTAATGTGAGTGTTGTGTCGACTGGCCTTGTCTTCACGAGAGGCGCCATCACGACCGGGCCGGTTCGGGTCGTGACAATAGCGTACTTATATAGGCGAAAAAACTTCTGCATGGCATATGAAAAGGCATAGAGGAATTTTAAACGTCTAATGGAAATCGTGCATGAATGTGATAGGAATGTAATTATTACACTAACACATACCCTAACGCAAAATAATTACTACTTTAATTGTATTTGTTACGTTTACTCTTGTATACTATACAATTAATGCACTCTAAAACTTCATGCTGAAACATACTGAAGTTTATTTAGTTCATTTGCTAAAACTTCAGCCCAATGTGCTGAAGTTATTTAGTTCATTTCTGAAAACTTCGGCACTTAATAAGCTGAAGTTTTTGTCCTAGATTCATTAATTTTGTCATACAGCTTTTTCGAACAACTTCAGCCGAAAATGCGGAAGTTATTTAGTTTTTTTTAATAAGCTGAAGTTTTTGTCCTAGATTCATTAATTTTGTCATACAGCTTTTTCAAACAACTTCAGCCGAAAATGCGGAAGTTATTTAGTTTATTTCTAAAAACTTCTGCACTTAATAAGCTAAAGTTTTTGTCGTGGATTCACTAATTTTGTCATACAGCTTTTTCAAAAACTTCAGCATCTTTTTTAGTTCATTTGTAAAAACTTCAGGACAAACAACCTAAAAGTTTTCCTCCTGCACTATGTAATTTTCTCCTGCATGCTGAAGTTAAATTTAGTTTATTCTCAAGTCTTGTCCTGCATTAATCACCTTCTTCATGAGCTTTTTTTCAAAAACTTCACTATAAACAAGCCGAAAATGTTCTAGTCCATTTGCTCAACTTCAACTTCAATGTGCTTACATTTTTTATAAACTTCATAATTAAATTTATCTGTTCACTTTCCTAATACTTGGCACTAAACATGCTTCTGCAGGATGAGTTCGATTTGCGTTGTTATTACATTCAATGGGAGGTGGACTCTAGATTTCAAATACTTGGATCATGATACAAAACTTGTTCTGCTTAATAAGCAAGTATCGTTCAATACTTTCTTGAAGAAAATTAGCGAAGTTACAAATATTGATTCAAGCAGATATTCACTAAAGGTATGGTTTGATATCAAACTAAATACAAGCAAAGGAATGCTTGTAACTTCAGATGAAGAACTCAGTACCTGTATACATTTGCTTACAACTGATTCAGCCTACAAGAATTGCCATTTCATCGTCGAAAAAATACAACATTCAGAATCTGCAGCATTCAAACAATCTCTTGCATATGCAATAGATTCAGAACCTTTTGCTGATTATCAACATGAACTAGGACAACCAATAATGGAAGTAGACAACGAGCAACAACCTTCTAACATTACAGCTGCTTCAGAATATACAATGCTGCAACAATTACCCACTCCTCCAATAAATTCATACCAGTTTGTCGATGACCAAGAAGAAGAAGGACAGCTAATAATGCAAATTGACAACCAACACACAATCCAACAAAGTTTTTGGTTACCTTCTGCAATGATAAGCAACAACGAAGATGAAGTTATAGAGCTTATACCGATAACATCAGATAGAATTGAAGAAATTGCTGAAACACTTCTAATGCTTCTCAGAAATCAAGAAAAAGAGTGAGGAGAAAGCTGAAAGAATCTCCACCATGTAAAATACTTAGGCACGATGCGTTGCCTGAGGAAGTAAGAGTAGGATCAATTTTTGAGAACAAGCAAAACATGACTAAATTTTTCTGCACCTTGGAGATAAACCAAAAAGTAGAATTCACTGCTGTTAGATCATGTTCAAAGAGATACGAGCTGAAATGCATCGTGGAGAAATGTGGTTGGAATGTACGTGCCAACAGAATAAAAAATTTCACACTTTTCAGGGTGATAAAATATCATAACCATGAATTCACGGTTGATGCAAGAAAATCAGATCAGAAGCATGCTACATCAAATTTTATAAGTGAACAAATTATAGAACATGTTCGAGACAAAAAGATAGAGGTTACACCAGCCTTTGCAGAAAATGAAATGAAAAAGAAATTTGGAATTGACATTGGTTATTACAAGGCATGGCGCGATATTCAAAAAGCTATTGCTTGCATAAGGGGAACACCGGAAGAGAACTACCAGATTCTTCCTTCATACCTACACATAATGGTACGCAGAAACCCAGGAACGTACACAAGCATAAAAAGAGATGAGCAGAATAGGTAAGCAAAACAATACTAACCATCAGCCTGAAGTTTCAAATGTTCCTATTTGAAAAACTTCACACCTTATGATTTGTTTTTTTGTGTTTCACTGTATAGATTTGCTTATATGTTCTTTGCTCCTGCGGCATCAATAACTGGTTGGTCCTACTGTAGACCCGTTATTGCAGTAGATGCGACGTTTTTAAAGTCAAAATATCGTGGTGTTCTATTTGTTGTTGTATCAAAGGATGCAAACAATCAAATCTTTCCTCTATCTTTTGGTGTAGCAGATTCAGAAAACAATGAGGCATACATTTTGTTCTTCGGGGAAATGAGAAAAGCAATTCAAGTCTGTCGTGAACTGGTTTTCTTGTCAGATAGAAACCAATCGATCGCAAATAGAATTAGAAAAGTTTATCTTGAAGCTCACCATGGTATCTGCCTCTATCTCTCTGAGAAAAATTTAAAGCAAAGACATGCAAAAGCCACGGTAATAAATCTTTTTCAAAGTGCTGCAAGGTCATACAAACGTGAAGATTTTAATCAGTTAATGTCGCAACTCAAAAGTGTTGACAAGAAAACATACAATTACATAATGGAAGAGCCTCCAGAGAGATGGGCTCGATCGTGGTTCCCACGGCGACGTTATAATATGCTAACAACCAACATGGTAGAATCAATGAATTCCGTCTTACTAAAAGCGAGAGATATGCCTATTTTAAGAATGTTAGATTTCATCCAAGAAATGTTGGGAGAGTGGTTTTACGAACGGAGAAAATAGCAAGTGAAACTTTTCACAATGTATCAATATGGGCAAAAGAAGAGATGACTAAGAAGATGGACTTGGCTTGCAAAATGTTAGTGAGTATATTTATTAACTTCAGGATTTACTTCAGCTTTTTATATCTGTTGTAGTGATTTACTGCTTACATTTAAAAAACTTCATACTTTTTCTTTTTGAAGCAACAATACATTAATATAGTTTATCTTAAATTTTTATTCCTTCTTAGGTGTTCAACCTTGATTCAATGTTATTTAGAATAAATAGTGAATGAATCGAATTCATTGTGGACTTAAAGAAGAGAACTTGTGACTGCTTGGAATTCCAACTTGATGAATTGCCCTGTCCACATGTAATTGCTACTATTAATAAGAGATATTTGCAGAAATATGATTACTGCTCAAAATGGTATTCAAAGGAAACAAGGTTCAAAACATATGAAGGACATGTGAATATCGTGGGAGATCAAAAATCATGGGATATTCCACAAAATGTAGAATCTGAGATCACAAAACCTCCCGATGTAGAGATTTTACAAGGAAAAAGACAAAAGAAGAGGCATATCCCTGCGACTGAATCAGTACCATTGAAGACTACCAAATGTAGTCGATGTAAACAAGTTGGGCATAACAGAACAATTTGCTTGTCTTTCCAGCACCTCATCCATATTCCAAGAAACACGCTGAAAAATACTCAAACGTTCAATAATCCTTGGTCTGAATTTAGATTTTCATTATTGTATGACATATTTGAAATGTGATTTTCTTTTTTCATAGGAATAAAAAAAAGCTCTTGGACTCTTTTATATATTGCTAAATTACAAACCACTCATTTTTGTTGAGCAGGCTTACAGGTTTGGTTGCATTTTAAAAAAGTACGCAATGACTTCAGCAAGAAAAAACTTCAGGCTTACAGTATGTGAAATACATATCCTTAACAAACACTGTAACGACCCGACCGGTCGTTTTGAGCTTTTGCACTTTGATCGCCAGTTCTCGGGCATGACTTGCCCTGAGTAATGTGTTGTGACTGATGTAGATCGTTGGTTTGGTTTTCACGGAAATTGGCATGAACTTGAAAGAACAGTCTCAATTGGAAGCTATGAATTTGAAAGGTTTGACCAAAAGTTGACTTATTTGCATATGAGATCGGATCGGAGTTTTTATGGTTTGGTTAGCTTCGTTAGGTGATTTGTGACTTAGGAGTGCGATCGGATTGGTTTTGGAGGTCCGATGTAGAATTAGGCTTGAATTGGCGAAGTTAGTATTTGGCGATTTTCGGTTGATAGGTGAGATTTTGATCCGAGGGTCGGAATGGAATTCCGAGAGTTGTTGTAGCTTCGTTATGTGATTTGGGATGTGTGTGTAAAATTTCAGGTCATTCGAAGGTGATTTGGTTGGGTTTTTGATCAAATGCGTGTTTCGAGAGTTTTAGAAGAACTTAGGCTTGAATTCGATGTAATTCGATGGTTTTAGTGTTGTTTGAGGTGTTTTGATGATTGGAACAAGTTTGAATGATGTTTTAGGATGTTTTGGTGCTTTTGGTTGAGGTCCCGGGGGCCTCGGGGTGATTTCAGATGGCTATCGGGGAGTTTTGAACTTGGAAGAAATTGCAGAATTTCAGCAGTTATTGCAGAGGAAATTTTGCCTTCACGATTGCAGTCATAGGGTCGCGTTCGCATAGTATTGGAAGCGGAAGCTTCGCGTTCACGTGGTATAGCCCGCGTTCACATAAGAGGATCTGGGGGCCAGCATATTTTATTCTTCGTGTTCGCATCATATGAGCCGCGTTCGCGTAGGTTTGGAAAGTAAAGCATCGCGTTCGCGGAGCTCCTGTCGCGTTCGCACAGCACGTTTTTGAAGCCTTGGGAATTTGCTCTTCGCGATCGCGAGCCTGGGGCCGCGATCGCATAGAAGGAAATTATAGCTGGGCAGAAAGGTTTTTAAAATATTTCATCCGCGAGCCTAGGTCATTTTTCCACCATTGTTGAGTATTTTGAGAGCTCTTTGGGAGAAATTGAAGAGGGATTCAAGGAGGATTGATTGGAGGTAAGTTCTATGAACCAAAAACGTGATTATATTGTGAAATTTACCTAGAAATTCATGGGAATCTAACTAAAAATGGAAGAACTAGGGCTTGGTTTTGAGATTTTTAAATTAGAAATTTAAGGGCCATTTGAGGTCGGATTTGAGAGTTTTTGGTATGTATGGACTCGTGGCGAGATAAGGAACCCGTTGATGTGAAAATTTTTGAGTTTCGAGAAGTGGGCTCGGGTTTTGCTAATTTCGGGATTTTTGATATTTTTCGATTGTTTTCGCTTGGGCTTTGTTCCCTTAGCATATTGTGATGTATTCGTTCTAAATTTGGATAGATTCGACGCGCGTGGAGGCCGATTTGAGGGGCAAAGGCGTCGCGAGCTAGAGATTTCGCCGGTTCGAGGTGAGTAATGATTGTAAATGATATCCTGAGGGTTTGAAACCCCGAATTGCACATCGTAGTGCTGTATTGAGGCGAGACACACGTTGGATGATGAGCGTGGGGACTTTTATTGTTGGGGATCGTGACTTGGTCCGTCCCGATTGATGATTTTACCGTATATTTGACTGAAACTTATTTGTTATCATCGTAATTTGGGCTGATTGCCATATTTGGGCTTCGTGCCAATTATTTGAACCCCTTCGGGGATGGTTGTTGATATTTCCTCACTGTTTGATTTTATACTTGAACTCGGTCATGTATTTTCCACTGTTTTCAAAACTCAGCCAAGTTTATTTTGCTTTAACACTTGAAATGATATTTCCTATACTATTTTTGGGCTGAGCAACATGTTTTACTATTGCCCGAGGGGCTTATGTGATTTTTGACTGAGTAAGGCCGAGGGCCTGTGTGTGAGGATACTTTTGGATCGGGCTGCACGCCGCAGCAGTGTTATATTGATACTGAGATGAGGTCGAGGGCCTAGACTTGATGCCACGAGATGGCTTGATATTGCGCTTGGGCCGTAAAGGGCCCCTCCCGGAGTCTGCACACCCCCAGTGAGCGTCGTCGACGATAAATGGATCGGGCTGCACGCCGCAGCGGTACTAGTACTGTTCTATGTGTTTACTTTATTTAATTTGTCTGCCATTATCTGTTGTCTGTGCTACTTCGTGCAATATCTACCTGATTGCCTGGCATTGTCTAATGACTGAGTGCTGTGCCGAGGGGCGGATTTCTGTGCTTATCTGCACTATTTGTTTGCATTCATTTGCGTGATCGCTGAAAAAGTCATTTCAAAAGAGGTATAAACTGAGCTAAGAATACACCACAATCAACACTACAAAAAGAACATATGCGAAACACGTACTTGTTACCCTGCAACAGTGTGCTCATCCACTTAATTTGAAATTTTTCCACAGGATTTACCCCATAACTTTTATTGTGTGTGCCAAAGTCCAAGCATCGGAGACAGTGTGGGATCAACAGGGCATAATTTTTGACATGTTCAAGCGCACGCTCATATGTTATATTGCCCATGGAATCATACACATATATAGTTTTATCTAAAGTGCAGAATTCCAAAAAAGTAGTGCGTAGATCTCTGGCCCGACCTTGGCTTAAGTCGAAATGGAAAGAATACTTTTTCGGCAGATGCCCATGTGATACCACAGGAAAGGTCGAGGCCTTTTACGTAGTTGACCACCTTTTTCATTCGTTAATTCTTCAATAAACCAACTAAACTCGGTAAGTTCCTCAATAACCACTTCTTCTTCTTCTTCTTCATAATCCTCACGTTCCTGTTTTTTGGATGTCCTCTTTCTCTTTGAATTGCTCTTCTTTTTTATCCTCCATTCTCTTTTCCTTCATTTTTAATTTTCTCCTTCTATTCATCTAAAGGATGAACACTAGTCAACTTAGTCATATACTGATCAAAAACTAAATCTGTTACTGCATATCTTGATTTTGGATAACTTGGAAGGTGATAGCAATATTTTTTGCGCAAGAAATATATGCCCACTTTCATATTCTGCAAATGAACAACAACAAATGAAAATGTGAAATAAAAACTTCAACATGCATAAGTATGAAGTTTAGAAAAAACGCATTACAAAACTACAAACAGCATGACAAAAACATAAGCATATTCAGTTTGAAGTGTTAGGAAATAATCTAAAAAACTTCAGCATGTTTGATTTAGAAGTTTAGAAAAAAACTAGAGAATGCATGTCAAAACTTCAACAAGGTTATGCTGAAGTTTTAGCAAATAAGCTAAAAAACTTCAGTAGTTTTACTATGAATAAAGCTGAAATTTGCCAAATTACAGTACAAAAACTTTATTATAAAAATAAGCTGAAGTTTTGAGAAATACAGTTGAAAACCAATTCAAAAAACAAACTTAATAACTAATTTCATCTGAAAGATCAGAGGTAGGATCCACAAGCTCGGTAAAGAATGATTTTGGAATATCAATTCCAGCTAATCTGAATGGATTGGAATTATATTCACTGGCATCCGTCTCCAACCACTCTGTAAATCTTTGCATCAATCCACTATCTTGAATAACATAATGGAAGGGACACCTTCGTGTAGTCTTTCCTACTTTTCAATCTTGCCCCCTTCGCTTTTGTTTAGGATTGACGTGAGGAGATCTCAACCAAATACTCTCCACACGAATCATTTTCCCTTTTTTATCTGATTTTCTTTTAGCTTGCTCTTCCTGCTGTTCCATCACAACTAACTGCTGCTGTTCAGCAGCAAGGGAAAAATCCACAGCCATGGTAGCAGATACTTGACCAACTCCCTGCTGTTCACGACGTTCTTGTCTCTCTTCACCAACAACAACAACAGCAGAATTACCTTCTAAACCAGTCCCTTGTGTACTACCCAGCGAAAATGAACATAAATTGAAGTTGGGGATATCACTGGTGTCACACATAGGAGAACTGGAAATCTTCCTTCTCTTAGGATTTGGAAAAAGTTGTGATGCATCAGATGAGATCTGCAAAAACAAGAAAAATATAAACATAAATACAACTGATACAAAAACACATTAGGCAAAAAAATACCTTGTAATCGAATTGCAGAAAATAACTACCTGGTCTAAGTGTTGAGACACAGATGGTGTTTGCATTCCAACATATCTACTTCCTTTACCTTCAGATACGCCTATATCTTCATGCAAAAAAAACAAACTAAATAAATTTTATAAAATAATACAAACACACTTCACACCTGTCTGTGAGCCAACAGGTGTGAATAGATGTATTTCTCCTTTTTCATATAGCTGAATAAGCTCACCAAATTCTTTTTGAGCTGCATTGAGTCTTTCTGAATAATATTCAAAAACATAAAAAAGAAAATAAAGTATGTAAAATTTCAAACTATAAAAAATATACTTGGATCAAATGTAATAAATTCATGATCTATAGAATACCTTGACGTTTGACTTCCGCTGTGGTTTCCCCAGGCTGCATGTCTTTGTAGATATCAGCAGCTCCAGCTTCATTCAATTGTGCACCGTCACATTGGAGTATTCTCTGGAAGGTTTTTCTCAACTCTATCTTCATTCAATTCAGCATCATCAAAGAGTTTTTGAGTTGTGTCAATTGAAGCACAACTATTTTCAACTTCCACTGCATATTCATAAAGAGGGGGATGGATCAATGACACACACACACGCACACACACATATATATATAACACACACACACACACACACACACACACACACATATATATATATATATATACATAATATATATATACATATTCTAACANAAGACACTACCCCCTTCATTCCTAGCGCCCCCTTCACTCAAATTCTTCCAGCGTTTTTCCCCACATTCCACCAACTTAATCACCCATCTTCTTCTCCACTATCCCTCTCCACAGGTATGAACCCTAGTCTCTCCTATGACCAAGCAAACACATCTTTAAAACTCAAACAGGAGTTGGATTATTGCATCTCGAGTTTTCTCATCCGTGTGAATGCTTATTTTGGTTTCCCTTATTTCTTTGGCTGTTCCCAAATTAAACGGTTCAGTATCATTCAGATTTGGCTTAGGTTTATTCTCAAATTGTTCCAATTCTCGATTTATATTCTGGTTCTTGATTCATTATTTCACAATTAGACAGCGTGTTCGAGTCTGGGCATGTAGTCCGCAAGCATGTCATGTTATTTAAAGCCGCATTATTATAACTGAAACGAGAAAATGGAAAAGGAAAAATAACAAAAATCAGAAAGAATAGAGAGAAAAATGGACGATGAAATATTGATTTCATTTCTTGGAATTTGCAAAGATAACAGGGTTACATTCAGGAATTTAAAAGACAAGAAACTAAAAGAAACATCCGAGTTACACCCTGAAATAACTCGGGATGCAGAAAAGGTGACAGGGCTAGTCTACCGGGACTCCCACCTGATCGGGAATGGCGTAGCCTTCCAGTTTTGGAGTTTAGCATCTGGTCCCATATAGAGCACCTCAGCGGTGCTAGTCCCTTCCCCTGGCTGAACCATGTTGGTTTCATAAAGCATTTGTCTCATAGCTCCACATATATCTTCGATTTCCTCAGCTGTGAACACCTCATCGTCCTTTTCTTTGCCATACTTGGGCTTGACAAAAGTATCATAGAGATGTGGCAATGGTTGTGGCAGAACCCATCCTTCTTTCTTTCTTTCCTCGGCCCATTTCTCATCATCTGGGGTAGGGTGGAAGCCTATCCCGAAAAACTTTTCTGCTGTGGGTAGAGTTACCGGCTCGGATATTCCTTGCAAAGCTTTTCCCAACCCTTTTCCTGGTTTGAAACCGTGCCTAATCATTTCTTTGGCCACCATGATTGAAGCGTTAGACAGGAAAGGCTGAGGACAAGGATTTCCTTCCTCGTGCTGATCTGCTACCACAATTTCAAAGGCTTGGTAAACAATATGCTCACTTCCTTCCCTTGCCTCCAAACATGGGATAGATGGATCACGATAGATAGATTGCTCGTCTTCTCCGTGGACCACGATTTCCTGACCTTCATACTCGAATTTTACCATTTGGTGGAGAGTGGAGGGCACAACTCCTGCAGCATGGATCCAAGGCCTCCCCAGAAGGAAGTTGTAAGATGTATCCATGTCCAACACCTGGAAGGTCACCTCGAAGTCTACCGGTCCTATAGTCAATATCATGTCGATTTCACCGTTGGTATCCCTTTTAATACCATCAAAAGCCCTTACACAAACATTATTCGGGCGAATCTTTTCTGTCCCGATCTCCATCCTCTGCAATGTGGAGAGTGGGCAGATGTCAACCCCCGATCCTCCATCNGATAACTCTTCATCGTTTCCATCTTTACTCAGTCTATCAACACTGGAATGTTCCTCTCCAACTTGTTGTTGAACATGTTGATCGCCTTCAAGAGTCGCTTCCTCACGTGTAGCATTTTCATCTGCGACTTTATGCGATGCATCATGAGCAGCATGTTCTTCAGTATCAACAACTTGATCATCTGCACCCTGCTTGCTTCCAACATTCTCAGTTGATAAATGTTCATCATTTCCATCTCTGCTCAGTCTATCAACACTAGAACGTTCCTCTTCAACTTGTTCTTGAACATGTTGATCGCCTTCAAAAGCCGCTTCCTCACGTGTAGCATTTTCATCTGCGACTTTATGTGATGCATCATGAACAACATTAATATCCGATAGATGTTCGAAAGAGTCGTTCATCCTATCATATTGTCGATAGCTCATCAAATCACAATTGCCATCGTCCATTCCATTAGATTTGTCGACAATCTTAAACAACTTTTCAAACTTCTCATCGAAATATTCCTAGAAAAAAAATTACTAACAATGATTAATCTTAATAACATTATCAGAAAAAAAAGACTTCTCTATAAATTAGCTTACCTTCACTTTTTCAAAAACCGCAACCACAATAGCATATCGCTCATCCCGTTTAAACTTATCGACAACTTCTTTCGCGATCGTGCTTCTTTCTTTTTCTGCATGCCTTTGAACCTCCATCGTTACCCTCTAGTATAGAGACACAAAACAAAAATTCAGATATAAAAGAATGTTGAAGTTCAGCAAATACAGAACACAACTTCAGCTATTATAATGCTGAAGTTCATCACAAACAGAACAAAACTTCAGCTCAAAAACATGCTGTAGTTTTACAAAAACACAACCAAAAAACTTCAGCTCAAAACTTACAGAACATATTGTATCGACTAATTCATTGTCAAACGTTGTTGTAGAACGGTTAGAACGACTCTGGGTACGAGATGATTCGCCAATAACAGGAGGTCGATTCGCTTCTTTTAATCGACTCCGACTACGTGGTGATTTGCCAATAACAGGAGTTCGATTCGCTTCTTTTGATCGACTCAGACTACGTGGTGATTCACCAGTTGAAGGAACCGCATTAAGTACCTTTGTACGAATCCGGCTGCATGGTAATTGTCCAATTAAAGGCATTGAATTCAATTCCTCTTCGGTAGGAATTATATCCAATACCCTAAACGTGCAATATCTCTGTTTAATACAAAAAAGTATATTATGAGGGGGAAAAACAACTAATATGTCAACATATTAACACAAAGACAAAAATAAAAAAAAAATTAACTTACAGCATAATTACTGAAGTAATCCTCATAAAGTTCGTTATATTTAGCCTCTCCCACACATATATAACGTAATATCATGGGAACCTGAGGGGTATCCAGGTACTCATCATGTCTTAAATACTTCTCCCGAATATCAGGGAAGCGCTCATAGAACCAAGCACATAACGGAAATGGAAATCCACCAACTTTATACTCAGTTGAATGAAATTTGTTCTGCTTGTCCAATACATGTTTCAGTGAGTAAATGAGCTTCTCATAACACACATTACCCCAAGGATATTCAGCACAAGCCTTATCATCTTCAACAATAGCTGCATACTCCTCCAGCACAGATGATTCAGTCTTTTTTCCAAACAAAATAGACTCCACAACAAGAATTTCCATAAGCTTCACAACATCTTCATCACTCTAGCATACGTGTCTGAAATTCACAGCATTCTTTGGAATTGCATTCCGAATCCTAAAATCTCGAATATCCTTCAAGGTCACACCCTTAGACTTCCCAAAATAGCGCTTCAGAATATTGCTCTCTCGATTAATTGGTTTTTCAACATTATGTGTTGTGATCCGCAAACTGCACATAATGTGAAAGTCTTCAAGGGTGAAGGAAACATCATGGCCAAAAATCTTGAAACTAATGGAGTCTCGATCATTGGTGAATATTCGAGAAAGACACAAACAATGAACCAACTTCATGTTGCATTTGAAATTCTTCACACCCTTATGGCTATGGAGAATTTCAAATGCAACATGAAGTTGGTTCATTGTTTGTGTCTTTCTCGAATATTCACCAATGATCGAGACTCCATTAGTTTCAAGATTTTTGGCCATGATGTTTCCTTCACCCTTGAAGACTTTCACATTATGTGCAGTTTGCGGATCACAACACATAATGTTGAAAAACCAATTAATCGAGAGAGCAATATTCTGAAGCGCTATTTTGGGAAGTCTAAGGGTGTGACCTTGAAGGATATTCGAGATTTTAGGATTCGGAATGCAATTCCAAAGAATGCTGTGAATTTCAGACTCGTATGCGAGAGTGATGAAGATGTTGTGAAGCTTATGGAAATTCTTGTTGTGGAGTCTATTTTGTTTGGAAAAAAGACTGAATCATCTGTGCTGGAGGAGTATGCAGCTATTGTTGAAGATGATAAGGCTTGTGCTGAATATCCTTGGGGTAATGTGTGTTATGAGAAGCTCATTTACTCACTGAAACATGTATTGGACAAGCAGAACAAATTTCATTCAACTGAGTATAAAGTTGGTGGATTTCCATTTCCGTTATGTGCTTGGTTCTATGAGCGCTTCCCTGATATTCGGGAGAAGTATTTAAGACATGATGAGTACCTGGATACCCCTCAGGTTCCCATGATGTTACGTTATGTATGTGTAGGAGAGCCTAAATATAACGAACTTTATGAAGATTACTTCAGTAATCATGCTGTAAGTTAATTTTTTTTTTTTTTGTCTTTGTGTTAATATGTTGACGTATTAGCTTTTTTCTTTCTCATAGTATACTTTTTTGTATTAAACAGAGATATCGCACGTTTAAGGTATTGGATATAATTCCTACATAAGAGGAATTGAACTCAATGCCTTTAATTGGACAATTACCATGCAGCCGGATTCGTTCAAAGGTACTTAATGCGGTTCCTTCAACTGGTGAATCACCACGTAGTCTGAGTCGATTAAAAGAAGAGAATCGAACACCTGTTATTGGCGAATCACCACGTAGTCGGAGTCGATTAAAAGAAGCGAATCGACCTCCTATTATTGGCGAATCATCTCGTAACAAAAGTCATTCTAACCGTTCTACAACAGCGTTTGACAATGAATTAGTCGACACAATGTGTTCTATAAGTTTTGAGCTGAAGTTTTTTGGTTGTGTTTTTCTAAAACTACAGCATGTTTTTGAGCTGAAGTTTTGTTCTGTTTGTGATGAACTTCAGCATTATAATAGCTGAAATTGTGTTCTGTATTTGCTGAACTTCAGCATTCTTTTATATCTGGATTTTTGTTCTGTGTCTCTATACTAGAGGGTAACGATGGAGGTTCAAAGGCATGCAGAAAAAGAAAGAAGCACGATCGCGAAAGAAGTTGCCGATCAGTTTAAACGGGATGAGCGATCTACTATTGTGGATTCAGCTTTTGAAAAATTGAAGGTAAGCGCTAATTTATAGAGAAGTCTTTTTTTCTGCTAATGTTATTCAGATCAATGTTAGTAATTTTTTTTCTAGGAATATTTAGATGAGAAGGTCGAAAAGTTGTTTAAGATTGTCGACAAATCAAATGGAATGGATGATGGCAATTTTGATTTGATGAACTATCGACAATATGATAGGATGAACGACTCTTTCGAACATCTATCGGATATTAATGTTGTTCATGATGCATCGCATAAAGTCGCAGATGAAAATGCTACACGTGTCCTTGCCGAGGGCCTGTGTACCCCCGGGATTAGTCGGGGCTCTTAGAGATTCGGACACCCGGTGCAAATCCAAAAAAAAAAATGCTACACGTGAGCAAGCGACTTTTGAAGGCGATCAACATGTTCAAGAACAAGTTGAAGAGGAACGTTCCAGTGTTGATAGACTGAGCAGACATGGAAATGATGAACAGTTATCAATTGAGTATGTTGGAAGCAAGCAGGGTGCAGATGATCAAGTTGTTGATACTGAAGAACATGCTGCTCATGATGCATCGCATAAAGTACGCAGATGAAAATGCTACACGTGAGGAAGCGACTCTTGAAGGCGATCAACATGTTCAACAACAAGTTGGAGAGGAACATTCCAGTGTTGATAGACTGAGTAAAGATGGAAACGATGAAGAGTTATCAACTGAGAAAGGTGCAGATGATCAAGTTGTTGATACTGAAAAACATGCACCGAGTTGTGCTTTGAGCAGTGATATTGCAAAAGGCAATTTGTTTGGTGATGGGGATCATGCACCTGTTGGTACTTTAGAACTGACATCGAGTGATGTGTGTAGCACTATTGGGAAAGACAATCGGTTTGCAGACATACTAGTTATTTGCAAGGAACTTGTAGGTGTAGATACACAGGAAATTTTCACTACAAGTATAAATTTTTTATATGTTATATATATATATATATATGTGTGTGTGTGTGTGTGTGTGTGTGTGTGTGTTATATATATATGTGTGTGTGCGTGTGTGTGTGTCATTGATCCATCCCCCTCTTTATGANTGGCAGTCCGAGACTTTGCTTTCTTTTACCCTTTTTTCAACTTTTCATCAGACAAGCTTCTTTCTCGATTCCTGGCATCTATTTTCATTTATTGAATTTGGGCCTTGAGAGCTTCATTTTGCTGGGCCAGTTTCTTTTTATCCCCTTCGTCAGCTGCAGCTTGTACACTTTTCTCAAATTGAAGATCCCGAACTTGCTGCTCCAATGCCCCTATTTTGGCACGGTACTCCTTCTCTTTGGCCAGCCAATCCCATTGGACCTGGGCTCCATCAATGAATTGTTGTACGTGTGGCCTTTTGGCCGGCCTCTCGGGAATCTGAAACCTTTTGCCGAACCAGGTCAAATATTTGGGGTCTACTTCACCTTTTGCCCGATCTTGTACCATAGTCTTAGGCTCCAGGAATCGGCACTCATTCCATATCTTTCGGATTCTTCCTTCCGGGAAGGCAGCTTTTGGACCCAACTCAATAATTTGTCCACTCAGGTCATCATCATTGTGCACTGCCTGGAATCTTCCGAACTGTCACAAAACTCGGTAAGGAGCATAAGGTGGTATGCTTCGAATACCCATCAAAAGAATATATGGGACCTCTGCTGACGTGTATACAGCTTCAGTAGCAGGAAGCCACCCATAAGCCCATTCAACTTTATCTGCGGTCAAAGATCTTAAGCATGACGACCAGGCCTCAGTACCCTCGGGAAATTCAATGCATGTTACCCGGGTTTCAAATTCGTCGATACAACTTAGCCCGGTTAACCCGAAGTTCATATACCCTGTGCGGTGACAAAGATGCTCCTGTATCCACATTTGTAGCAATAGATTACATCCTTGAAAGAACTTCACACCCTCTCGACNTATATATATATATATATATATATATATATATATATATATATATGTCATTGATCCATTCCCCCCTCTTTATGAATATGCAGTGGAAGTTGAAAATAGTTGTGCTTCAATTGATACAACTCAAAAACTCTCTGATGATGCTGAATTTAATGAAGATAGAGGTGAAAAAAACCTTCCAGAGAATACTTCAATGCTTCTCGACGTTGGTGCACAATTGAATGAAGCTGGAGCTGCTGATATCGACAAAGGCATGCAGCCTAGGGAAACCACAGCGGAAGACAAACGTCAAGGTATATTATAGATCATAAATTTATTACATTTGATATATTTTTTACAGTTTGAAATTTTACATACTTTATTTTCTTTTTTATGTTTTTGAATGATTATTCAGAAAGACTCAATGCAACTCAAAAAGAATTTGGTGAGCCTATTCAACTATATAAAAAAGGAGAAATACATCTATTCACACCTGTTGGCTCACAGACAAGTGTGAAGTGTGTTTGTATTATTTTATAAAATTTAGTCAGTATTATTTAGTCTGTTTTTTTTTTTTTTTTTTGCATGAAGATCTAGGCGTATCTGAAGGTAAAGGAAGTGGATCTGTTGGAATGCAAACACCATCTGTGTCTCAACACCTAGATCAGGTAGTTATTTTCTGCAATTCGATTATAAGGTATTTTTTTGCCTAATGTGTTTTTGTATCAATTGTATTTATGTTTATATTTTCCTTGCTTTTGCAGATCTCATCTGATGCATCGCAACTTCTTCCAAATCCTAAGAGAAGGAAGATTTCCGGTTCTCCTATGTGTGACACCAGTGATATCCCCAACTTCAATTTATGTTCATTTTCGCTGGGCAGTACACAAGGGACTGGTTCAGAAGGTAATTCTGCTGTTGTTGGTGGTGGTGAAGAGAGACAAGAACATCGTGAACAACAGCAATTAGTTGTGACGGAACAACAGGAAGAGCAAGCAAAAAGAAAACCAGATAAAAAAGGGAAAAGGATTCGTGTGGAGAGTATTTGGTTGAGATCTCCTTACGTCATTCCTAAACAAAAGCGAAGGGGGCAAGATTGAAAAGTAGGAAAGACTACACGAAGGTGTCCCTTCCATTATGTTAATCAAGATAGTGGATTGATGCAAAGATTTACAGAGTGGTGGGAGACGGATGCCAGTGAATATAATTCCAATCCATTCAGATTAGCTGGAATTGATATTCCAAAATCATTCTTTACCGAGCTTGTGGATCCTACCTCTGATCTTTCAGATGAAGTAAGTTATTAAGTTTATTTTTTGAATTGGTTTTCAACTGTATTACCCAAAACTTCAGCTTATTTTTATAGTAAAGTTTTTGTACTGTAATTTGGCAAACTTCAGCTTTATTCATGGTAAAACTGCTGAAGTTTTTTAGCTTATTTGCTAAAACTTCAGCATAACCTTGCTGAAATTTTTGACATGCATTCTCTAGTTGTTTTCTGAACTTCTCAATCAAACATGCTGAAGTTTTTTAGATTATTTCCTAACACTTCAAACTGAATATGCTTAAGTTTTTGTCATGTTGTTTGTAGTTTTGTAATGTGTTTTTTCTAAACTTCATACTTATGCATGCTGAAGTTTTTATTTCACATATTTTCATTTGTTGTTGTTCATTTGCAGCATATGAAAGTGTGCATATATTTCTTGCGCAAAAAATACTGCTATCATCTTCCAAGTTATCCAAAATCAAGATGTGCAGTAACAGATTTAGTTTTTGATCAGTATATGACTAATTTGGCTAGTGTTCATCCTTCAGATGAACAAAAGGAGAAAATTAGAAAAAGGAAGGAAAAGAGAATGGAGGATAAACAAAAGAGCAAATCAAAGAGAAAGAGGACATCCAAAAAACAGGAATGTTAGGATTATGAAGAAGAAGAAGAAGAAGTGGTTATTGAGGAACTTAAAGAGTTTAGTTGGTTTATTGAAGAATCAACGAATGAAAAGGTGGCCAACTACGTAAAAGGCCTCGACCTTTCCTGTGGTATCACATGGGCATCTGCCGAAAAAGTATTCTTTCCATTTCGACTTAAGCCAAGGTCGGGCCAGAGATCTACGCACTACTTTTTTGGAATTCTGCACTTTAAGATAATACTATATATGTGTATGATTCCATGGGCAATATAACATATGAACGTGCGCTTGAACATGTCAAAAATTATGCCCGGTTGATCCCACACTGTCTCTGATGCTTGGACTTTGGCACACACAATAAAAGTTATGGGGTAAATCCTGTGGAAAAATTTCAAATTAAGTGGATGAACACACCGCTGCAGGGTAACAAGTACGTGTTTCGCATATGTTTTACCATGCATCTTATGTTTATTATTTTTTGTCCTTGTGTTAACTATTCTTCAATTTCTTTTTCATGTTCTTTTTGTAGTGTTGATTGTGGTGTATTTGCTTTTAAGTTCATTGATATGCGGTTGAAGAAAGAAGATGTCTTCAATTTCGATCAAAGTCAGGCATTGACATTCAGGAAAGAATTGGCTGCAAATCTTTGGGCTCATGGAAAGTGGAAACAAGATAGCGGTTATGAAACTCCAGAAGAGCAACTACGACACGATTATGGAGATTATGAAGAGACTCTGTGTCACACCTCCTTTTTACACACCTACCCCGAAGGATAATGTATAAGGGAGTTTTTCCATTTAAAGTGACATTATTTGAAATGGGATTCTTTATTTATTTTTTAAGAGTCAACACTTGGGAAAGGATTGGCTTTTCTGTGTCCCAAGTCACCGGTTTAACTTAAATCCCAAATCGAGGAAAATTTCGACTTCCCAATTGGAGTCTGCGAACCAAAAATTCTAAATAAGGAATTCTGTTGACCCGAGGGAAGGTGTTAGGCACCCCCGGATCCCGTGGTTCTAGCACGGTCGCTTAAATTATTATAAATGGCTAAAAATCTAATTTTTTATACATGCTCAAACCTATAGTGCAATTTTATAATTATTTACCGCTTTTAATTATTTTTTACGAAAGTGAACGTCATTTAAAAACGTGTTTTCGGATCACGTCACATGAAATGCACCCGAATCCTCGACACATTCTTATTCAACGTTTTTGGATTTTGATTTGGGTTGCATGAAATGCACACCCGTATTCAAGAAGGTAAAATTATTAAAGCGCGCCTAAAGCAACTAATGGGTTATTATCTTTGCGGTGGGCCGTGAAATTCGCTAAACGGCACGCCCCGAATCTAAGTATTTTAATTAAGTATTTAATGAGGGCCCCGCAATTTATGTGTTTTGTTTGGCGAGACTCGTCTCATTTTTATTTATTTAAAGGCTAACCTAAAACAAACTAAGATTTTCTAATCATTTTTTGTCTCTAAAAAGGGCCTAATTAATTTGCATTTATAAATTCGGGCCTCGAGTTCAAGTCCGAATTCAAACAAAAGGGAGGACCCTCTTAGTTTGGACCCGCTACCTAACTCGAGAACCTAAATTTATATTTGCCAATTAATTCCCCATATTCCTAATGTAATTTAAAGGATTTTTGACTTATAGCAATTTTGGGGCCTTGAATCTTTGGCCCAGGTCTGTAAATGTTGTTGTTCAGCCATTGGGCTTTGTTGAAGTCCAGCCACGGACTCTTCCTAGCCTAAGGATCAAGTTGGCTATTTGGCAGCACAACGAGATTGCAACTTCACTTCATTTTTTCAGCTAGGAATCTACATGAATTTCAAAACATGTACCTGGAATTAAAACAAAAGGAAGAGGAAAATAAGATCAGCAGTGGCAATGGGCAGTCAGCAATGATAAATCAACAGCAACACAGCTAGGAAATCACTCGAAAGCCAAAATTATGTCACTACGACTCAGGAGTGAAAACAAATGGATAACATCCAGTAAAATGACCCAACACAGCCTTAATTGAGCTCAAACACACTTGAGATTAACCCAGGAAACTTCAGAAAAACTTCAACAATCAAACCCCAAGCTAAAGATGCAAATTAACCACTATAACTTGAAATTAACCCAAGTATTTCAATAGAACAGTATTTTTTTGGATTTTTTGGAGTTTTGCTAGTTTTTTTGATTTTTTCTGGAAATTTTAGATCTAAAATGAAGATTTCTACAGCTATATGATTTCAGATTTGAACCTCTTGAGTGTTGAGGTTCGAATTTGAATTTCAGACTTGAGGAAGGGGATTTTTAGGGGGGAACTTAAGAGCTGGAGAGCTTGGGGAATTTTCAGAGTGTGTAAACTTGTAAAACAAGGCACTAGGCCTGCCTTTTATAGGCAAGGAAGGGGGCAGAATGTTCTGGAAGTTTTTACTCATTTTCCCCCCTTTTTATTTTCAGAAATTGTACCTTAATCCCTAATTTTTTGGCTTGTTGCCCAAGTTACTGCATTAAGAATGCAGAAACTTACACTAAGACCCCCTTCTAGAAGGACCTAGGATGTTTTTCTACCTATGGAATACCTATACTACCCTTATTTGGGTTCTAAAATTACTGGTCCTTAACAAACCAGCCCATTTTGGATGCCTAAACTACCCTTGATTGCCCCTGAAATTACTAACCCTAGTTGAAATCTATCAGCTATAACCAATCACCTAAAATTACACTAATTGGACAATTAATCAAACAAGGAAACAAATTGCATGAACCAATCATGAATCAACTAACACACACAAAATTAAACCTATTAAAATCAAGCATGAAGACTGAAAACAGTACTGCCCTAAATCAAACAAACTTAACTACCATAAACATGGAATTATTAATATAATCACTACTCAAACTGATTTAAACTAAATTATTAACACTAAAACATAGGGAATCAGATTTGAACAAGGCCAAAACTATCCCAACAGATTAATAAAGGATCAGACTAAAACCAAAGATTAAAATGAATTAAAATCTAAACGGGATGAACAAAAAAGCAGAATCGAGCACAAAATCAAAACAGAAATCCGAACAGGCAGTGATAAAAACAAAACGAAAATTAAACCAAAAAATTAAACTACAATCATAGAATTAAATCAAAAAACCACAGAAAAGAAGAAGAAAATAGAAACAAACTCTAAAACTTACTGAACATTTATCTCAACTAAACTAAAATTAACAAATCAACTTTCATGCTATCAAAGTTCATGCTACTGGATATTAGACTTCGAAACAGGAAAACAAAGAAAAAATAAACTCAAATACTAAACCCTAAGCAAACAGCAATCCAAATCACGAAGCCAAACAATTATGTAAAAAATAAAAATAGCACCAGAAGAAGGAAAAAGAGAAGAAAAAAAATCGGGGCACTCACTGGTTGTGGTCTTCATTAATTGAACTCGGATTGAGCCCCCAAATAACATTATACGTTTGTTCTTAGTGAGAACAAACGTATCAGGTTATTTAGGAACTCAAAACGATCTTGGGCAGTATTAAAAAAAAAACAAATCCAATATCTTCTTGTAAACCCTAGATCTGGAATTTGACAAGTTTTTACTTAGATTTGAAAAGTTTTGGTTTGAGATTAGAGATAAGGAGGGTTAGGGGAGTATAGGGTGTAAATTTGGTGGGACTTGAAAGAGTTGAGGTTTTGGCCAGATTTTCGATCTAATATTTGAGAAGATTGGTTATGATTTGAGGAAGGTGGTTTTGGGGGTTGGAAAGAGGAAAGGGAGAGGATTCAAGGGTGTAATTTTGGGTGGATTTGGAGCATCGCCGCAGGCGGAGGCGATTTCCGGCCGGCGGCGGATGGCGGTGGACGGCGGAGACACGGTGGGGACGGTGGTGTTACAGGGGGAGACAGTGGTGTTACTGGTTGTACGAGGAAGGTGAGATATGTCTTAGGGTTAATGCAATTTTTCGGACAGTTTTATTAACTATGTCAAATGAATTTAGACCGTTGGATTATGGGCAATGGACGGTCGAGATTAATTGACACTTAAAACAGTGTCGTTTTGATTTTTAGAGGGTTGGACCGGATCAGGGGTATGGGTTGGCCATTTTGGATGGGTTTTTTGGTGATTTTGGTTTGGGCTGCACGAAATTGGCCCAAACATTTTGCCAACCCTTGCTTTTTATTTCATTTTCTTTTATTTGTTTCCTTATTTTCTTTTTGTACTTTATTTATTTATTTTTTCTGAATTTTCTGATTTTATTAAAATCAAAAACTAATGACCCAATATTAAATCTAAGATTATACTAATCAATTTCCAACATTAACTAATTCTTAAACCAAAAAATGTAAAAATGTTATTTTTTTTTTCTCTTATTTTAGCAATATTCATTAACTAGTAAGAATAAAAATATAAAATCGAATTCTAAATGCAAACGCAATATTTTTATACCTTTTTATGAATTATAGCAACTAAAAATGCACAGAAAAATGCAAACAAGACACAAAATCATTCAATTAATTCCTAAAAATTCAAACAATAAAAGAAAAATTCTAATTCTAATGAATTTATAGGAATAATTTAAGCGTGGCAAAAATCACGTGCTCACACTCTGTATGAATTTTTTGAATAAAGAATTGGCTGCACAAAATTTGGATTTTGTGAATATACATTAATTTGTGTGAATTATGTGATGTTTGTCTTTTAAATTTTTGGTCTATTCGCATTAATTAGTTTTTTAGTTGGCTTGGGTTGAATCAAATATGTTTGTCTCTTTTTTCATGAATTTTAAGTATATTTTTGTTGAAATTCAGCATGCTAAACTTCAGCATGAAGTAAATAACTTCTGCTTTTTAGGCGGAAGTTTTGGTTAAAACTCATAACAAAAGTGTCGACTGTAGGACAAAAACTTCAGCTTATCAAGTGCTGAAGTTTTTAGAAATGAACTAAATAACTTCAGCACCTTCTGCTGAAGTTTTTGAAAAAGCTTTACGACAAAACTATTGAATCCAGAACAAAAGCTTCAGCTTATCAAGTGCTGAAGTTTTTAGAAATGAACTAAATAACATCAACATCTTCTGCTGAAGTTTTTGAAAAAGCTTTACGACAAAACTATTGAATCCAGGACAAAAAACTTCAGCTTATTAAGTGCTGAAGTTTTTAGAAATGAACTAAATAACTTCAGCACCTTCTGCTAAAGTTTTTGAGAAAGCTCATGACAAAAGCTTCAGCATGTTTTGGTATTTTTTTAACTTGATACTTATCTTTTTTGCATTTACTAGCTACTTTTTGTCTTTTATCACCTACTTCATCTTTCATTTAAATTTGTTTACACTACAAGACAAATCCTTCAGCATTTCTATTGTCAAGTTTTACCAAATTATGTAAACTCAGCTTGTTTAGCAAATAAACCAAAAACTTCAGCATATTATGCAGTGAAAAACTTCAACATATTTGAATTTTTAGCTTTTACGTTAAATTAGCTTTAAAGTGAAGAATCACGTGAAACAGATTTAGAATGCAAATTCATTCGTCAGTGAAATCTATCAGTGAAATCCGTCAAACAACTTTATGCAAATAATTATAGAAAAATATATCATGAAATCAATCAGTTTCAATAACTATTTTGAATTCTGAAGATGAATTGGAATACTTACAATGTATTTTGTAATTTTGAATTTGGAATTTGAATTTGGTTCAAATTTCTGGTTAGCAAGAGGCGATCTGAGGAGAGACGGAGTGATGGAGGAGAACCGTAAATTGATTTATGCGTGATGCATCTTTTATATGTTTTGTCAGGGGTATAATGGTCATATTAGTACGGATTTTTTGTTAGCTGGCTACCAAATCAATAGTTTTTAAAAATAGGGTACAAGTTAAAAGGTGGCATAAATATAGGGTACGACTGCAAATCGCCCTTTAAACCTCCTACGCCTTTCAAGAAAATCTTAAATAAGCCCCTAAGCCATTTTTAGTGTCACTCAACTGCCTAATCTTTTATTGTGGTACCACACAACCCACTCCCCTCAAGTTCTACTCATAAAAAGTTATCTTAAGTTATCTTAGGAACTAGAGAGCAATTTAGGTTTTTCTTATTATCAGAGGGGCTCAAGTATTTACTTCCATCCGCTAACTTTGAAAAGGAAATTCTGCCACCTTTCTAGCATAAAGAGAGGAGAAAAATATTCTTTAAACCCCTAAATTTAACTATAATATTAAATAAAAGTGACTGAAAGGGTTAAAACAAAACAAAAGTTCGCGGGCTTGAGTGAGCTAATAGTGGTAACCGCTTGCGAGAAACCTTTTTAAAAGTTTTAAGGGCTTGCCTTTAATACCTTTAGGGATCGTTTGGTACATGGGATAATAATCCTGATCTAGACTTTGAGATTAACTTTATCCCATGTTTGGTTTGGGGTATTAGTTAATCCCGAGACAACTTTTACACTAAAATGGTGGGATTAGTTATCCCATATAAAATGTGGGATAACTAATCTCATGGGATATCCACAATTGTACCAATCGACCCCTTAGTAAGCCTCGGAACTAGTTCCAAGATCAAATTACACAAACAAGTAATATAATGTAATTCCTAAACCTCTGTTACTATGGTCAAGATTGAGCATAAAGAATAAGAAAACATATTGAAACGTGGAATTACATTTGAATGATGTGTGGCCAGCACGACATGCAAATACATTTGAGTTATCCAGAAATATACTTCCAACAGAAATTGGAAGATAAGAATGGCTCAAAATATATCTACCATGTCCAAAATGATGCAAAGTAAGGTGGTAACCATATCCAACTCCTAGGAGATTAAAGCTTCTCCATGTAAAATATGTCTTTCCCACTTGTCAAAATATATGTATCAATCTTTTCAGCCTTAAAGGCAATCTTTCAACTAAACAAGGAGTAAAACGAAGCAGAAACCATCTACCTTAGCATTGTGTAAATTAACATACATATGAAAGTACATTACCTTCTAGTCAAGGAGATTAGAGAATCATACCTTATTTGTTTGTTGGGGTACACAATTACGATCTATTTGATATTTGTACCTACAAGTTTAAGAGCGGTGATATTGAGAACAGTCAATGTTGCAAGCTCGTGCTGACAAGGTAGATCCTATAGAGAGAAAAAAACTATCAAAACCCAATTCTTTTGCTAAACTCACATCATCCGACAGTTGGCTCCTTACAGAGTACATTGACTTCAACATTGTTTCTAAAGTGCCCTTTCTCAAGTGGAACTGCACATCGTTTTCTTTGCAGCTAGATTTTTCATCACCTCGAAGCTGCATGGAATAGGCTTTAGAAAAACAGTTAAAAGTACAAGACTTTCCATTTGTCACATTAAAATGAAAAGACAAACATGAAAAGCGAAGTCAATATACTCTTTCCTGAACTTCAGAAGCCTGAGGCCAAAAAAGAAATAAAATGGAAAGAACTCACTTTTCTTTGCTAAATAATGATTGCTAATAGACACAATTCAAGGAATGAGTAAGATTTGGTCTGGAACGGCTTAATATATGACCAATCACATAAGAAAGCAGTCCAAAAATGTTAAGCAGTTGATTTTTTCAGCATATGAGTCAAATACCATGGAAATTCTTCTTCTTCTCTTTCTCCAGATTGACATGCCAAGATAGATAACTTGTACCTTTTTTATAATGGTACAAAAGTAGATAGATCATTTGTACCTTTAAATTTGTAATTGCTGCAGGGTCTCCAATTTCACTGCCCTCATTTCCCCTGCTCCATGTCATTGCTCTCAGTTGAGGCAAGATGACCTGATTGTGGATAAGATTCAACTTCAGTGTCCATTCTTCAGCTAGATAATATTACATGCATTACTGCTGAACCTATTGAGACAGTTTCAGACCCGGTCATTAGCTGTATCTTCTTTAGCTATATCTTCACGCCACTCCTTTTGAAATTTTTGCAGTAGAAGTGTTAATAATCTTTGTAACTCGGGTTGGACCTCAGCAGGAAACAACTTTTGAATTTCATCCTTCTTGGAATTCTCATAAACACATTTGCGAATCAAAATACGAAGGCACACCAGAAGCTGCAAAACAAACATGTAAATATGATGGCTGATATAGGAATCACATTACTTGAAGTAAATTTTTTTTGAGAATGGTAACAGTGATCACATTACTTGAAGTAATTCCCATATCTTATTCATTCTTCCCTTTTTTTAATAAGTAAAACTTTAATAACTAATGTAAGAAACTTCAGGAATGAAACCAAATAAGCTCATTATGCAAAACAGAGATGACTATAGATTACAGATTAGATTTTACATTCTTACAACAAATAAAACAAACATTTGTATATGATACACAATATTCACATAGAGAAAATTCCAGCAACCTGATCACTGCCTGCACAAATTTAACCTATATAAAACACAAAGTAGCACCAACATAAGGAGGAACCAGGCTAATACCTGAAGGTGCAGCTGTTCTGAACTTTACATCACAATATCAGTATTCCTCCAAAAGTATCATTCTCATATGCAAATGACGAAACCATAAGGAATGATTCATTTAGAGAAAAAAAAAAGTTGCTAAAACAATGTTCATCCTTTTGTAGCAATGGGCTATGCTTAAAGGATGATAAAAGTTACAGAGACTCAATAGATGCTACTAACAAATGCAGTTGAACGCATTTGTAGAGAAATCTTCATGTTGCAAATTATATTACTTCTGAAAAGCTGTAAAATGCAATAATTTATCTTCACTACATTCAGTTTCTAGCTTTTCCCAAATCTTCTACAGAGCCCATCGACAAGTACTATCTCACGGGGTATTGTTTCGATTTACATAAGTTTGAACAAAATTGCAGAATGTACAATGGCGATGGTCCTAGAAAAACACACTACACATTCTATATGCTATCATGTAGTACTAGATGTTGGAGATATTGCATTTTAGCATGACTTTACATTTTAATGGTATAATGGTGAAAAAGTAGCCATATTTTCCTGTATGACTCTTGAAACCACTGTCTCATGATCTATCCACTTATTACCCTACTAAAGGTTAAGTTACTTAGTCTTTAACCCATGATCTCATGTTCATACAATTTTATACTCACCTAATTCTTATTTATTAAATGGAAGAATTTCTACATGTATAAATAGGAGACTTTCTTCCTTGTGGTGATGCACCAAAAGGTTTTGTTCAGTACAGAAGGATCACTGGAATTAAATTCCTTAAATCTGTAGGGAATCTAAGAATTCCAACATTACATCAATGCCACAATCAAAAGAAGCATATCACCATATTTTAAAATTCTGAATAAATCTATATTTCACAATAGAATGTTCTCCTCCATGCACTCAATAGACTTTGATTCCTTTCAAGGTATTATCCACATGAATCATAAACAGGGATGCTTCTCAAATCTTCTTCTACTTCTTTCTCAGTGGCCAACTTTTCCAACTCCTTAAAGTCTGCTTGACATTGGATGGCATAAAACAGTGCATCCCATACAAATTCAAAAACATGCCCCATACTTTCCAAACATACTTGCAAACAAAAAAGGATGATTCATCGACTCCCTCTTCCCCTACAAATATAACACTGGATACATAGGTCAAAGCCCCTGCTCTGCAACTTATCTTGTGTCAAACAAGCTTCGCCTGATGAATCCAACCAAACATTGTTTGCTTGGAGCCTCGGATGTCCATGTTATTATCCAAGCCATTCCGTGTTGTCTTTAGCCATCTTCCTTGTCAGCAATTGATAACAAGATTTTACAGAAAAGTTTCCATCTTTAACCCTTCCAACAAACAGAATCCCTTACTGATATGTCCAGCACAATCCCTGCAGTGATCTCCAGTAAAATCCTAACTCTTCCAATTTCCCAGTCATGAAAATTTCTTCTAAACTGCTGAGCTGCAATCTGCAATCGCACAGCTTTTGTAAACTGCTGAGCTGTAAAAATCAGAAAAGGCATCAGCTAAGGTGGTTTTTCCCCATACCACTTGTCTCCACAAAATTTAATTTTCCTCCCATCTCCATTTGTAAGCTCTTGAAATTCACCCCATAAACTATTGATAAACTTTGAAAAAGCAGCACCAAGTGGACATACAACTAGAGTGTGCATCCAAAGTCCTGTAGCCCATATTTGCATTTCAAAACCTCCTTCCAGTGTTCCTCTCTCCAATATCGTATCTCGATACCCATTTGAGCAATAAACTTTTGTTGTGAAATCTTAGGTTTCTGACACATAAACCTCCATATTTTTTGCATAGAAACACCTCATCCCATCTTATCAAATGTCTTCTTAATTCCCCTCCCATAAGAAATTGTGCCTAATTTTATCCAACTGCTTTTCTACCCTAGCCGACATGGGGGACCAATGATATCAAGTATGTTGGTATACCATCAAGTATATACTATTAACGAGTGCCACTTTGCCACCAAAAGATAAGTATCATCTCTTCCACGTGCTAAGTCTTTTCCCATTTTTAGCGATAACACCCTTCCATATGCTACAATCTATATAATTTGAGCCAATTGGCAGACCAAGATACACTGTGGGCAAGATTTCATCCAAAATTTAAGCAAGTTCGGCATTAAGTAAAAAAGGACATTTATTTAAAAAACTGGAGACAGATCAAAATATTGAGATACAGTTGTGCAAATTCGCCATCAAAGATATAGAGGTTCGACCTCGCTCGAACTCAAGACGGGCTGTAATTTCGATAAGTTCGAAATAACGCCCATAAGGCCAAGGGCCCTCGCCATCAAAGATATAGAGGTTCGACCTCGCTCGAACTCAAGACGAGCTGTTATTTCGATAAGTTCAGAATAACGCCCTTAAGGCCAAGGGCCTTCACCATCAAAGATTTAGAGGTTCGACCTCGCTCGAACTCAAGATGGGCTATTATATCGATAAGTTCGAAATAATGCCCTTAAGGCCAAGGGTCTTCGCCATCAAAGATATAGAGGTTCGACCTCGCTCGAACTCAAGATGGGCTGTTATTTTGATAAGTTCAGAATAACGCCCTTAAGGCCAAGGGCCTTCGCCATCAAAGATATAGAGGTTCGACCTCGCTCGAACTCAAGACGGGCTGTTATTTCGATAAGTTCAAAATAACGCCCTTAAGGCCAAGGGACTTCGCCATCAAGATATAGAGGTTCGACATCGCTCGAACTCAAGACGGGCTGTTATTTCGATAAGTTCAAAATAACGCCTTTAAGGCCAAGGGCCTTCGCCATCATATATAGAGAGGTTCCACCTCGCTCGAACTCAAGAGGGGCTGTTATTTCGATAACTTCGAAATAACGCCCTTAAGGCCAAGGGCCTTCGCCATCAAAGATATAGAGGTTCGACCTCGCTCGAACTCAAGACGGGCTGTTATTTCGATAAGTTCGAAATAACGCCCTTAAGGCCAAGGGCCTTCGCCATCAAAGATATAGAGGTTCGACCTCGCTAGAACTCAAGACGGGCTGTTATTTCGATAAGTTCGAAATAACGCCCTTAAGGCCAAGGGCCTTCGCCATCAAAGATATAGAGGTTCGACCTCGCTCGAACTCAAGACGGGCTGTTATTTCGATAAGTTCGAAATAACGCCCATAAGGCCAAGGGCCTTCGCCATCAAAGATATAGAGGTTCGACCTCGCTCGAACTCAAGACGGGATGTTATTTCGATAAGTTTGAAATAACGCCCTTATGGGCAAGGGCCTTCGCCATCAAAGATATAGAGATTCGACCTTGCTCAAACTCATGACGGGTTGTTATTTTGATAAGTTTAATATAACGCCCTTAAGGCCAAGGGCCTTCGCCATCATAGATAGAGAGGTTCGACCTCGCTCGAACTCAAGACGGGCTGTTATTTTGATAAGTTCGAAATAACGCCCATAAGGCCAAGGGCCTTTGCCATCAAAGATATAGAGGTTCGACCTCGCTCGAACTCAAGATGGGCTGTTATTTCGATAAGTTCGAAATAATGCCCTTAAGGCCAAGGGCCTTCGCCATCAAAGATATAGAGGTTCGACCTCGCTCGAACTCAAGACGGGCTGTTATTTCGATAAGTTCGAAATAACGCCCATAAGGCCAAGGGCCTTCGCCATCAAAGATATAGAGGTTCGACCTCGCTCGAACTCAAGACGGGCTGTTATTTCGATAAGTTCGAAATAACGCCCATAAGGCCAAGGGCCTTCGCCATCAAAGATATAGAGGTTCGACCTCGCTCGAACTCAAGACGGGCTGTTATTTAGATAAGTTCGAAATAACGCCCTTAAGGCCAAGGGCCTTCGCCATCAAAGATATAGAGGTTCGACCTCGCTCGAACTCAAGACGGGCTGTTATTTCGATAAGTTCGAAATAACGCCCTTAAGGCCAAGGGTCTTCGCCATCAAAGATAGAGGTTGACCTCGCTCGAACTCGAGACGGGCTGTTATTTTGATAAGTTCAAAATAACGCCTTTAAGGCCAAGGGCCTTCGCCATCAAAGATATAGAGGTTCGACCTCGCTCGAACTCGAGACGGGCTGTTATTTCGATAAGTTCGAAATAACGCCCATAAGGCCAAGGGCCTTCGCCATCACAGATATAGAGGTTCGACCTCGCTCGAACTCCAGACGGGCTGTTATTTCGATAAGTTCGAAATAACGCCCATAAGGCCAAGGGCCTTCGCCACCAAAAGATAAGTATCATCTCTTCCACGTGCTAAGTCTTTTCCCATTTTTAGCGATAACACCCTTCCATATGCTACAATCTATATAATTTGAGCCAATTGGCAGACCAAGATACACTGTGGGCAAGATTTCATCCAAAATTTAAGCAAGTTCGGCATTAAGTAAAAAAGGACATTTATTTAAAAAACTGGAGACAGATCAAAATATTGAGATACAGTTGTGCAAAAAAAAAAAAAAAGAGTGGTGAAAAGGAAAAATAAAGTATGACTTCTAGACTAGTTGTTAAGTTCAGCATATGATTAACTATTAGCAACAAATTTAATTTCATCTGCTACTGAACAGATATGAAGAAAGGTGGAAGGAGGAAGTATATGGAAGAGAAGAGAGCTTACAGGGTCGAGGTCAGAATCATTAGGAAGTTGAAGCATTTCGCGGAATATTTGGCGGTCGGCGGCATCAAGCCCTGTCTTGCGAGTTCTCCACAGAGCTTCAAGTATATATTCTATTGATTCCTTCGAATTGGCTCTCCCCAACAGCGCTAAATGCTTCCACACGCTCATCTTCCTTCGTTGCTCCGACTTGAAGGCGTCAATTTAACCTAGCTGGGCCCTAATGTTAAATGCTCTAGGTTGTTGTGGACTTGGGGTGATGGACACAAAAGGATAGAGGAATGTCCAAAAATTGCCGGTATTTATGATTTCGGATGCCATATAGAGATTTATTTTTCTACGGAATAGGTAGAATTGATGTTATTATTAATCTCTCTCTTAAATTATAGTTATTCATTAAAGTCTAATTGACTTATGCTCTTCGGGTATTTTTCTATTTTTTCTCTACCAATATGTTAAAAGGCGAAATACATAAACGGTCCCTTTAAATTGTCCTCAACGATCATGCAAACACCTCAATTGAGCCCATTTTCAATTGGACACTTCAAGCTTTCAATAAAATAAGTCAACTAAACACCTCATGCTCACATGTCATATTGTGTGTTTCTCAATCCACTTTCAGCACGTGAATGGACTTAAAATACTAATTAAAGTTTGCCCCACCCCCATACGACCGCTCCATCAACCAGCCATCCTAAAAGGTCACTCCGGCCATCGTACCACCCAACAAAACAACTCACCATCCACCGGTAAAAGGGCAGCCTAACCACCAGAACACAAATCCAGTCCGACTACTACATTAAAGAAGAATAAGTCCACCTTTTTTGTGTTAAAAAGTCTTACTTTGTTAGAACAATGGTAATATCATATCAATCTTTTTCTCTTGTTCTTCATTCACGATAACTGTGACCACCACATTGATTGGTCCATGAAAATAGGCTCAATTACTTCTGAAATCAAGGAAAAATGAATATTTCAGAAGCCAAATATGCTCAGTAAACCCAACATCTCATGATCCACCAAAAAATTTTCAGACCCAACTTCTACTAAATTTAACCTCTCCAAGCTCATAATCACCTTCAATAGCTCCCAAACAATCTCACATCACTCCCAAGGTGGCAAAAATGGTGGTGGTGCTTGAACCACAATGGGTTGGTTAACACAGGTGAGGGATGGGGATTTAAATTGGAGAATGAGGAGGAAATCTGAAATGAAAATAAGGGGGGAGGAATCTGGAAAAAAGGAAATCAAAGGAGGAGGTATGGAATTGAAAATGGTGATTAAGGAGAAAAAGAGGAAATAGTTGCTGAAGAAAACTAGAGACGACGAGGAAGGGGCCCGCGGTCTATTGGGGATTAAAGGAGCTTTTTTCATAACTATTGTTCTTCTTTCTTTTTTAAATTATTATTATTATTATTATTTTGTTTTATAATAGGTGGCAAATTTTTTAATTAAAATTACACATGGCATTTTCTCATTTGTTCATTAAACATGAATCCGAGAGTGTATTTTCACGCGAGGTGGACTGATAAGGCCGGGTGTTTAGTTAACCTACTTTATTGAAGACTTGAAGTGTCCAACTGAAAATGGGCTTAGTTGAGGTGTTTGCGTGATTGTTGAGGACAACTTAAAGGGGCCGTTTATGTATTTCGCCTTGTTAAAATGTTCATAAAAGTCTATCTGGTTGGTATATTTTTTCTGAGTTAACAAAGTGTTCTTTAAATTAGCAACTTTAAATTTGATCAAACCACCTCAAATCTACTTCAGATGATCTCAAATTTGAAACAAAGCATCCAAATACCAACTTAAGCAATCCTCAATCATTAATTTAGTCGAATAACACTGAATTAAAAAGACTCACTTTGTCTTCTTTAACTTTCTAAGATCCAACAATAAAGTTTGAGATTTTTATAGTAAATTACCAAATTCAGTATTTGAACTAAAAGTTAAGCACAAATTATCAACATTCAAATAATTTTAACAATAATCAAACTTTTTTTATCAATGATTAAGTTTTATTTTTCACCACCAAACAAGAATTTCAAGCTTAAAAAATTTAAAAACTATGGTATTCAAGTAAAAATGAGGACATTTTGCTAAGACCATTAAAAATGAAAATATTTCGCCAAGAGCATCCCTTTGAGGGTCACACTGTGCTAATTTCAGGTGGACTTGTGGGATGACATTTGGGATAGGTCACCTGGCCCAAAAAATTTCTTGGGTTAGTCACTTTTTGGGAGAGTTTAGCTAATTTTTTAAATGAAGTACTAAAGTAGCTAATGGATCGAATTAAATTAACGTTTTTGCCCCTAACTAAAATACGAAATACAAATCGGTATTGGAGTTTGAAACTTTGCAAGTAAAAATTCAGTGCACTATGCTAGAGTTTAAAAATCAATTACATTTGAAACTTCAGCACTATATGTTTGAGTTCAAAACTTTTAAAGGTGAAACCCCAATATACTATGTTTGAGTTCCAAACCAATTCTTAGAACAAAATTTATACTGCAATATCCAAATATGTGGTCTTTTATAAGTATTTCATATTCACGAATTAAAACTTAGTTTTTCAATTTCCAATTCTATGTAAGCGCAACAAGGATAAATCAACATAGGACCAGATTAACTCAATATGGAACAACAAATTTCTCGATCTCAATCTCGTTCTCGTTCTCGTTCTCGTTCTCTAAGCACCAATCCAAATCCTTTTACTGGGTTTCGTGTATAACTAATATGTCTCCAATGGAGACATCATTCAAGTATACCTCAAGGAGATGAAAACAAAGGACAAAATGATAGTTGGTAAAGATTGTATGGATTTGCCAGTCCTCTCCCTTGCTTTGAAGTTCTAGTGGGTTAATTATTGGCAAAATGCATAGTTTACCCATCGACGTTGCAACGAAATCCAAGTTACACACCTCTTGTTCACGAAAAACCTTTTTACACACTAAACCTTTCAAAAGTGAGTCTAAGACACACCACTTTTGTGCTTGACCAATTTTCCAGAAAACGTGAAAGTCACGCCCTAATGAGGTCGTAAAACGTGTCATTGACTTTAAAAAGGGAAAAAATATTAGAAATTAAAATTAAAATCCATCTTCCCATTTTCTATCTTAAGAACCAATGTTTCTGCCACCTAGTTATTTGTGAGAAGTTTCTAACACATCAAAATTCAAC